CCAGCCTTGAGGACCTGCTTTCACCAGGAAGCTTCTCTCTGCCCTTGCCTACCCACCCCACCCCATCCTTTCTCAGTACCTGCTGTTGCCTGGGCCCTTTGCTGTCCTCACAGCCCTGAGTCTTCGAGGGTAAATCCCAGGGTCTGGTGCCATATGATCTCAGGCAAGTTAGTTATCTTCTCTGAGCTTCCGTTTCTTCCTGTGTTAGTGAGGACAAGTCCCTGCCTCCTGAGGTTGCTGTGAGGAATGAATGATAGTAATTCTTGTAAAGTGCTTGGCATGGGGCCTGGCACTCAGTAAGGGTCTGATAGTAGCTACTGATAACATGGCATAATCCAGAAAAGAGGAAGTCCCTTCCAGGTTAGCAAACATGGACATCATCATCTCATGCTGCACGGAAGACTTAGAGCATTCTGGGGTGGGTGCCCACCCATTGCTCCTGTGATGCCTCTCTCCAAGGAGAGACCAAGGCAATCTGCCTTGCCCTCAATGCCCAGTGGACAGCAGGGATGGGGCCTGGTTCCTCTGGGTCTTCCAGGGCCTGGGCCATTATGAGCGGTGGAAAGAGTTGCTACACTGATTGAAGCACATGATGATAGGCTGGGTTAATGAGAGACCAAGGCTAGGATAGTTGCCCAGTGGGGTAAGCTGGGGAAATGGGAGGAGGAAGGAGACAGTCATGACACACATTCATGACACTCCCTGAAGGTGGAGGGAAAACCAAGTCAGACTCTAAATGACATTTCAGAAATGACCTATTAGAAAAATTTAGACGGAGAATCTCTATTCATGCAGAAAGTGGCAGAACAGAGCCCTCAAGAGGACAGCCAGAACTCGCTTTAATAATAATACCATCAATAATAACTATTTATTGAGCACTTACTATATGCTAAGGAACTCTCATGATGCAATGGCTAAAACATTCAACTACTAAGCAAAAAGTCAGCAGTTTGAATCCACCAGCCATTTTGCAAGAGAAAGATGATGCTTCCACAAAGATTTAGAGCCTTGGAAATTCTTTGGGGGTAATTCTACTCTGTCCTATAGAGTCGCTATGAGTTGAAACCTACTCCATGGCAGTGTTTTTGTTTTTGTTTTTCCCCTAAAAAACTATATGCCAACACCGCAACTAATACTTTATGTGCTTCATAAACAACTGTGTGAAGTAATTGTTGTTCCTTTTTATGGAATAAGAAACAGAGGCTCAGAGAAGTTAACTCTTGCCCCATTGCCTCCTTGCTTTCAGAGACAACAGCCAAGGTTCCTGCAGGTATCAGAGCCAACTAACTGTCCCAGGAAACAGAAGGGACTACAAGCATACCACCACACTCATCCTTATTTTCCAAACTGGCTCTCTGTGTGATTCAGGACCTGCTGTTATCTTGGGGGGGGGGGGGGGCGGAGCGTGGTAGTCTCAGGCATGTGATACTGGAGTGCAACACAGTGCCACCTCCAGGACATAGACCTAGAGCAATGTTCCCTCCAAATCAGATCTTTCAGCTGTGCTGCCCTCTCCCCTGTAGCTGGGCTCAGGGATGCTGTGGCCCAGAGGGAGGCCTACAGCTTGGTTGAGACCATAAGTTAAGGTGATTGGTGCCTGTTCCTCAATGATCAGGTACTCCAGGGGTTGGCACAGTGCTCATTACAGATTCCTTTGGTGCCCTACAGTGCCTGCAAACAGGTGTGGATGCCAGCCTCCTTGCCCTCCAGTCTTAATTCCTGCTGTCCATTTCTCCAGCAGCCTTTTGGGGCTCACTTTGGTTGGTGCTTGACTGTTTCTTGAGGCCTAGTCCTGTGTTTCCCAGCAGAAATTATGATCTCTTCAAGGTTAAAGACCTTCCTCTGTGTTGCCCATGGTCCCTGGCATAGGGCAGCCCAGTGCAGAAGGCAGAAGAACTGGCACTGATTGGGTTTGAATCACTTCCTGCTGTGTGACCTTGGGAGAGTGGCCTGACCCCTACAAGCCTCAGGGACCTCATCAGGAAAACGGGTTAATAAGGAACCCATCCTTACAGGGTTTTTGTGCAGAGAGGTGCTCTTAATGGGTGTACTCTTAGCCCGGGGCCCCATATGGGTTCAATAATGTTAGTGCTTGCTATTGAAGACAAGAGATGGCGCCCCGTTCCCAGAGCAGCCTTGTCTGACCACCCTGTTTAAAGTAGGACTCCCATTTTTTCTTACAACACCCTGTTCTTTATCTTCAAATTCGCTTAGACCAGTTTGTAATTATACACGTTTGTTTACTTGTCTACAAGTGCAGGGACTATGTTTGTTTTCCTCTGCTCAATGTCCAGTGCCAAGAGCAGGAGCACAGAAAATTGGGATGAATGAATGGTTTTCCCCTTCCCTAGTTTAATTCAGACAGAGCAGGACTGGACTCTTCCTCTTTTCTTAGAGGAGCTGTCTTCCTGAGTCCCCTATCTTCCCCAGTCCTCTCCAGATAAGATCCTGAAGTTGGTGCAGCCTAGAAGCACTGCATACTCCTCACTGTGCCAGCCACAGAATAGCTGGAGAATAGCTGGGTGGGGTCAAGGCTGGGCCTTATACTCACCTGGTGGGCCATGGCCCCAGGTCCTTGAATGATGGGGTCATTCTGGAACTGCTTCTGTCCTTCACCAGTCTGCAGCTCTCTGGCCTGGGGCCCCACAGCCTCGCTAGATCTCTACTGGCACCCTGTTTTGGGGCACCTCTCACCTGGGGCTAGGCTGGACTTTGAGGAAAGACCTCTTCCCTGCCTCCCACTTTTCTCCAGCCCCCACCTCCCTCTGGGTCTCTCCTGCCTCCTGCCCTCCACTGAGACCAGGGCCCCTGGCCTTGGCAGATGTGTGAGGCTGGGGGAGGCACTCTGAATCCAGATGTGATTGTGTTTATGTTTCCAGAGAGTGAGGGGTCGGAGCTCTGGACTGGAGCCGTTGGGGGAGGGGTGGTCTGGCTCCAGCCCCCTGCCCCAGCCTTTCCTTCCCCTCCCCTCCCTCTTTCAGCCTGTGTATCTGTCCCAGTTGCTCTCAGAACCACACACACCAAGTCCCACAGCATCACTCTGAGTCATCCTCAGGGAGGACCGCTTCTCATCTTTAGGTGAGAAAACCAATGGAAAGATGACTGGCTTTGGAATCTCAAGACTTACTGGCTCCGTGCAACCTTGGCTCAGTTACATAGTCTCTTTGAACCTTGCTTTCCATCATCTGTAACATAGGCATAATACTCCTGACCTCGGGGCCAGCGTTGACCTGGTTTGAGAATATGTGCACAGGGCTCCCGAGCTATTACCTCATGACAAAGCCCAGTGCTGCGTCCCACTCCCAGCCAGGGCTTGCCTGGGTCCAGTTCCAGGGCAGCGCCAATCCTCACCACAAGGTGATTCTAAAGCCGAATACCAGCCCCTCCTTCCTGCCCCGCTGCAGCTGCAAACATTTTGTTTTGCCATTAGAAGGGACTTATTTAAGAAAAGCAGGATTTTACAGGCCTTTTACAGGCTGGCCTTGCTCAGTAGTTTCCATAAGCCTAAGGAGGACGGAGGCTGCCGGCAGCCTCTGATAAATTGGGATGGAAGTGAGAAGTGAGTCTCGTGTAATAGACACTTTCTCCAGTACAGCCGCAAGCCCCTGGGTGGAATCTCGGAGGCACTAGGCGGCGGGAGGCCCTGGCAAAAGTCTGGCGGATTTAGCCTTTTCAGTTCTCCTAAACAGCCAGGGCCTGGCACCGAGGGGCGGGTAGGGCCCACGGGAGAAAAGATAACCCAAAGCCCAAGGAGGTTCATAGCAACCCCGACCCCAGTAGCGCTCTGGGGCCTCGAGGGTCATCACAGACCCAGCCTGGGAAGAGCCTGCAGAGTTCAGCCTGGGGGGCAGGGGTAGTTCCGGCTGGGGCGGCCCTGCGGACAGCCTGTGCGCACCCGGCAGGCGCGGAGGGTGACCGGAATCCCAAGCTGGACCGAACAGGTCGGCAATGGTGGTGGGGAAGTGGGGGGTTGGGGATCAAGGCGGGAGGCTGTCTGGCTTTTCCTTCTACTTGCAGAGCCCAGGGCAGGGCAGTTCCTTTACCCACCTCCCTTCTCCGCCAAATGAAGCAGTCAGGGCTCAGCAGTGGTCAGCACGCTCGGACTATGGTTTTAATAGACGTACATGGACAAGTCGATATAGACAGATTTATAATTCTATACAGTCAGTCCGACATACACAGGGACGCTGTAAACAGGGGCGCGGGCCAGAGAGCGGGTGTGCAAAGTGGGCGCGGCGCGGGGCCCTCGCCGCGTCCCGCGCTCTCTCGGCTCGACTCTCGCATGGCGGGCGAGGTGGAGGGTGCTGTTCGCCGGGACTAGGACCACCTCCCAGCTCCTGAGCCTAGCAGAGGGCCTGCGTGTGCGGCTGAGATTGGGAGCTGGGATGCTCTGAGGCGAGCCCTCAGCATACCTCCCATCACACCAGCACCGCCAGTCGCCGCACCGTGGCCTTAAAATCTGCCTACAGGGCGCGCCGGGGCCTTGTGCGGCATCACAGCAGGCCCGGGATCCCGGATTGTGCACCGCCATTCCGGGCCCAACGCCCACTCCAACTCGGATCGGAATCGAGCTAAGGTGCGCTCGGCCCAGCCTGGCTCGGAGAGGGCGCCTCGGTTCGTACACGGCCGAGGGTTCCCAGGCCTGTCTGGGAGGCCGGCCGGGGCTTCGCGCGATAGTTCGCAGGCGCAGCGTGGCAGAAACGCGGGCTATAGGGACGTTCTTCTCTCGGCTGCCAGGCGCTGGTCTCCCGCGCCGCATCCCCTCCGCAGGGTGGCCCGCCGGGGCCCGTGGGAGCGAACACACAACACCCGCGCCATCCCGAAGGAAATTGCAACTCATCCGTTTTTTCGCGGCACTTTCTCCGATGTCTTTTTGTTTTCGATTTTTTTTTTTTTTTTTTTGGAGGGCAGAGTGGGGTCCGGAAAAGCAAACACAAAACCAACTGGGAGGCGGGGAGTTGGGGAGGAAGGGGCTGCGCAGGCGCGCGGTTCGTGGCGCGGCGAGGGTCCTCCGCGCCCACCTCCGCCTCGGCGTTGTGCCCGCCGCCGGCCCGCGTGGCCGGGCTGGGCGGTCAGCTGTTGTACTGGCACGCGTTGAGGCCCGTAGCCGGGCCCTGCAGGCCGCCGTAACCGAACGACGAATGCTGCTTGGACTTGAGCCGCAGGCTGGCTAGGCTCGAGTTGCACGTGTCCCGGTAAACGCTGTAGGGCGAGGCGGGTGTGCCGTACGGGCAGGCGCCCGGCGACATGGCCGAGTTTAGCGAGGAGCCGGTGAGGTTGTTGATGTTGTTGAGGCCCGAATTGGGCATGCCGGGCACGGCGCCCGGGCCCATACTCGACGGCATGGTCATGGAGGAGATGGAGCTGGGTGCCGAGAACATGGACTGTGACGACAGCGGGCTCATGGAGTTAAAGAAGGTGAAGCTCTTAGTGGAGAGCGGCGCTGGCGCCAGGCTTTTGGCAGCCCAATTGTTGTAGGAGTAACCGGCGGCGTACACGTCCTCGTAGGGCTGCACCAAGCCGCTGAATTGCGGCACATAGCCGCCCTTGCACAGGTCCAGCTGCTGGTTGCGTTCGCGCTTCCGCCACTTGGCTCGCCGGTTCTTGAACCAGACCTGGGGGAGGGGGCGGGAGAAGGGGTCAGGGTTGCTGAGGGCGGGAAGGCGACCCCCACCCCCAACCTCCCGCCAGCCCGGGCCCTCCGCCCGCTTCCTTCTTTCCAAATATTGTTTCGTTTCTTCAACCGATATTTCAGCCCCTGCCTTCTCTCCGTAATGATTCCTTTCCTCTCAGAAAATATTAATCCTTTCCTTTTTCAGCTCTTTAGACTCTTCCCCAAATTAAGATCGTTTTCTTCTCCTAATAGGGATCCTCTTTTGTTTTAATAAATACTCGTTTGCATTTTCTCTCAAGCATCTCATTCTCTACATTCTCCTCCAAATGGCCCTATCTCCAAGTACTCTATCCTTTCATCTCTCTCAAATACAAAAGGTTTTTTTTCTTTCCTTAAACCTATGATCATCCTACTCTCTCAATCTATTTTTCATCCCTCCAGTGTTCTATTTTCATCTCTACTGACAATTTTATATTTTTCTTTCTGCTTCAAATATTTATTTTCATTCGGTCCAACTTGCTGTCCAAACCTCTTTTTTCTTCCCCAAATAGTCCATTTTATTAATCCCCAATTTTTGACCCTTTACTTTCCCCAAATATTTAGTTTTTCCATTTTTTCCAAATATCTGATCTTCTCTCCTTAGGTAGTTCTTCCTTTTCCCTAAAACTTGATCCTTTTGCTTCTCCCTTAATTATTGAGTTTCTTTGTGCCACATAAATATATGCCATATATATATATATATATATATATGTATATGTATATATATATATTTGCAAATGTTTAATTTCTATGAGTTGGGTCCGACTCCACGGCACATAACAACAACAAAGTTTCACTCTAATCTCTCCCTCCACTTTCTCCCACAAATTTGGTAAGAACCTATTTTTCTTTCCCAACTCTGTCCTCCCTGATCCTCACCTATTCTCCCAACAAATGCTGCTTACTCTCCTCGTCCTTTCTCCAGCCCTGGGCTGAGTTTCTCTGGGTCCCTGGACCCCCGTATCTCAGCTTTCTCTGACCCCAGTACCGACATTAATTCCACCCCCACTGCATCCTTTTCACCATAAACTGGGGCAGGATTAGTGAGTTTATAGTGAGTTTAGGATTAGTCATTGCTGTGTCTTCACCCAGTGTTCCACCGGGCTAGCCAACCTGACTGAGGAGGGGTGAGGGCTAGGGTTATAGTAGGGAGTCTATAGGCCAGGTGGAACTTTGGTCTGGCTGGGGAGGTGCTCCCAATATCTGATTAAATATTTGCGCACCTAGGGAAGAAATGATTCTCTTGCTGCCCTGGCTGGAAAGTGTGCTTTTATTGGGAACCAAAGGGGGAGCAGAGGGAGGTGCAATCTGGTCTTAGATATGAGACCTTGGATCCGAGAAGGGACTTGGTGCCGGGCCACTCGGCCACCAGAACCCCTATCATCTGACCTGTGCTGAGCCCTGTAGGAAGGGGCATCAGGCGAAGAGTCCAACTTACTGAATGAATAGCTGGGGAAGAATTGGGTGGGAAATACCTGAGATTTTAGGGAGACTGGATATAGGTTGAGATCTCTGCTCCAGGAAGTTTTGAGATCCTAAACCCATGCCACTTCAGATCTCTTTGAAGCGGCCAGGCAGGACTTGTCTTTCCCTTTCATTGCTTTTTTTCTTTTCTTTTTTTTTTTCCTGGGTGGGGTAGGTGCGGTGGGGGTGGGGGAGAAGGCACCAGCACCTCCCAAGGTCCCCAGTGGTGGGGAATCTTCTGCCCAGTCTCTGGCTTAGGGTGTCCAGCTAACATGCGCCAAATGGGCCCTGGGACCTACAGGACATGGGAGAGCTCCCTGGGGCCATCAGTCTTTGGGCTGAGGCTTTGGAAGAACTGAGGGTCAGTTAGGACGCAGATCATAGAAGTCCAGTTGGATACTAGCTAGCACACATGCAAGGGTGCTGGTAGCTACGGGTCATAGAGCCATTGTGTGGGCCAGAAGCTAAAGCAGGGTCTCCTTCCGTGGTGGGAAGGAGCAGATCTGAGTGGTAGGATTGACGAAAGTCTGAGCACGAGTTTAAGCTTTCAAGGGCGACAGCCCTTTGCGTGGGTCCCCCTAGGTGAGCAGCAAGGTTCACTCCCCGGGCTCACCCTCACACGCGGCTCGGTGAGGTTGGTCCACACAGCGATCTCCTCCCGCATGCTCATGTCAGGGTAGCGGTTCCTCTGGAACGTGGCCTCCAGCTCTTGCAGTTGCTGGCTTGTGAAGTGTGTTCGTTGCCGCCGCTGCTTCTTCTTCTTAGCAGGGTCCTCTGTGCCACCGCAGCCTCCGCCAACTGCACCGCTGTCCTCTGGCCCCTTGGCTTCCCCACCGCGTTCCTTCTCTGCAGCAGGCAGGACAGGGTGCTGGTCACCTGGGGCTTACGCTCATTGCACCCCGTCCCGGCTCCACCGAAGCACCCTACACAGTGTTGTTGGCCCTCCCTCCTGCCAGGGGCCCTGGAATTGTCCCCAGTGGAAAGAGCCCACCCTGGTGCCAGGTCATCAGTAGCCACTTCTTGTCTGGTGTGTGGGGGAGAAGAGTTCAGGAACTGAAGCCGAGAGCCTGGGTTCCTGTTCCAGAAGCCCGTGCTCAAGCTGGGGCCTGGCTGCGCTGTCACCGGTAAATACGCACTTTTTTCAGGCTCATGAGGGTCTAAGTCTGAAGGGTCTCTGGTTTTTTGAACTAGAATCTAGGCAGGTTTAGATCTTTCTTTCCTGAAGCCAGTGGGATCAGTGAGGAAAGAGCTAGGCTGTGGCCTGCATTCCCCACTTTTTTCTCCCCAGGGTTTGTGGGAGGCCTTGGGCAGGCTGGGCAGGCACAACACAATCGAACACAGCCGGTTCTCGGCCTTAGCTTCAGACCTCCAGTCCCATGGCCTAGAAAACCTCTCCAACAGCAGCCCAGACAGACTGTCTAGGAGACCCTGTTAAGCTTGCTATAGCTCGTTCTCTCTCTCTCTTGCGCTCTCTCTTTGAAACTACACAAACTACACGCAGACTTAGAAACACGGAAACGTGAAAAAGAATTTAAAAGCAAAACACAGAAGCCCAGAAAAAACTCACAGTTCTATGTCTTAAAACATAGAAAGGGTCACAAGTGTTCAAAAATAGGCAGGTAGGAACACAGCACAAACGCAGATCAAGAAGCCAGAAACTGCAGATACCTAGCTAAGTACAGTGCTGTATGTGTATAAAGTCAAGGCAGACATCGGCATTCATTTCTCCGGGACTAAAACAATCAATGTATCATAGTAGATAAACTTTGTAACCACTTCCCAATAATGAACACCCTGGTAAAAATGAAATTTAAATCACAGAAAAATATATTATAATTAGATAAATTAAACCCTCAAAATAACACCGCTGTAAATGGACTGAGAAAATCCCAAAGAAATACGCCATTTTGGATTGACTTTTAAAAAAAACCCTAAGAATATTGTTGCATATATTTTACATTCCAGAAAATTACACCTTATATATTAATTTATATTAATTTGAAAAATACGATAAATGGTGAATTAATCATTACAGATTTAGTTTAAAAATATTTATTTGGATTTTAAAAAGACCAACCAAAGACCATGCTTTTAAACTTTTGAAAACAAAAGCATAGTCCATCGTTGATTGTTTTTTAATAAAGAAACAAAATCCTTCAGAAAAAGGCACTTAGGGATGCAACCTAGAAACAAATTAGAGATTAAAAACGCGAAAAGAAACACTTAGCGCTGGATTAAGAAATGAATGCAGGAAGGGGCACTCCAGGCCGGGGCAGTCCGAAGCTTCGCGGCAGCGCGGAGTTAGGACCTCGAGCGCAGCAGCCGCTCAGTAACCCAGGCGGCCAAGACCGGCCAGGGACGACTAGCCGTCTTCTATTCGGTCCGCGCTGCCCACTCGCTGGTTCCGCTTGCGGCGGGGGAAAAAGTTTGGGTTCGGACAAAAAGACGGCGCCGAGGGAGACGTACCTGAGCTGCATCGGAGCCCTGGCTGGGCGGCCTGGCGCCTCCTGGCTCGGCGGCGCCCTTGGGGCCGAAATTTTTTCGCTCAGAGTTCGGACTGGCCCCGTCGGGAGCCTAGCCTCGCTCCGTGGCTCGCTCACCTTGCAGTCCTTTCTGTATCTAACTTTTCTTGGCATTTACTCCCCCCTTGTTGGCTTTTCTTATTTTTTCCCGCCCTCCTTTTTCTCTTCGGCCTGCCCTGTTAGTTTGTCACCCGGTGTCCGTCGGGGTGTCTGCCCCTCCGCGTCTCTCTGGGCACTTTCTCTCGCCCGCCGTCCCCCACTAGCATCTGGATCTCCTCCCCTCCCTCTGTCGGGTCGGTCTCGAAGCACCCAGTTGTGCAAACTCAACCCTGTTTTCGTTCTATTTTCTCCGCATCAAGAGGGGCTGTCAGTCTGGACCTCTGGTCGTAGGTCTTTGCATTTGTCAGTCTCTTGGCGCGTGGGGACCTCGTGGAAGTGCCTTCGAGTGTGTATCTATGTAAATTTCCGCGTTCACCATTAGGTCGAGAATGGGAAAAGGAAAGCTCACGGGATGGAAAGGGAGCCTGACTGTCCCGCGCAGACGCCAGGCCCTGCGCCTGGCTCCCCGCGTCTTGTGCCCAGGGAGGCTCGGTGCGCGCCGCGCGGGGAGCCGCTCTTACCTGGCAGCTCCGTGTCGGATGACTCGCTGGCCGAGTTCTCGAGTGGCTCACGGGGGTCGGTGGCGCGGGCCAAGTGGAAGGCGGGCCCTATGTCGTGCGGCGGTGGCGGCGGTGGCCGGAGTCCCTCCGGCAGCCGCTCCAGGCTCATACCCCCCTTGAAGGCGTCCATGGAGGCGGGGACCGCGGCGGGCGCTCCAGGAGCCGGGGCTGAGGGCACCCGGCAGCCCTGGTTGCGACCTGCGGGGACAAGAGCGCAGTGCCTAAACGGCTGCCCTTCGGGGCTGCCCGCGCCCGCGGCGACGCCGTCCCCGCCCCATGGACTGCCCGGGACTGCGGGGCCAGGCGGGCGGCGGCGGCGGTTTCTCGCGCTCGGGCGCCGGGCTCCGCGCTGCGATCCCGCCG